AATGACCATGGAAATAGTAAATTAACATATTTGATATTCTTGTCCAAAAACTTGGTTCATGACAAGAAAAAAAAAAAGAAAATATGCTGTTAATTTGTATGGCATGAAGAATTAACTACAGAAAAAATCTGAAAAGTCATGTTCAACCTTGCTTCATGTAAACATATAAGGTGTGAGTAAATCAACAAAATATACAACTTGTTCAACCTTGCACAAAAGCCTATTAAGTATTGCACACATACGATTTCACTAATGATACTTTAAGGTATGGTGTTTAAACTGAAAACCGGACATGTTTTTGTCACAGCATTATCCAGTTTATGGGCCTGTTGCTGGGGCTTGTTGGTCAGGTGTTGTATCCAAAGAAAGGTGTGTTTTGGATTACGAAAAGGCTTGTCGCTGTATTAGTGTGCTATTATTAGAAGGCAAGTTTTCCCTCTTTGCATAAAATCGGTCATCCCGACATTACTCTTTCTTTTTTGCTTTGTTGCATTTTGAGCACCCTCTCTTGACAAGGCCTTTTATAGTCTTGTGCTGAAGTGGCATGTTGTGTAATTTTGGATATTTTTGAAATTAGAGCATTTGAGTGCCACAGAGCAGAGGTCACTAATGTACAGTTAGGCTAAGCCACTCTGTTCTTCATGGTTAATGGTTGTGGTGACTTCAATATAGATTTGTTGAATCCTAACAAGCACACAGGAACTGAGGAGTTTATTAACACAATATATAGATGCAGTTTATACCCAAAAATTACAAAACCAAGTAGAGTAACAACCCAGCATGCAACACTAATAGATAATATATTTACCAATGTTATTGACAGCAAAATGACAAGTGGATTACTTATAAATGATATTAGTGATCATCTACCAGTATTTGTGGTTTATGAGGGCCAGTATAGAAAAGAGAGGCCAAAAACAAATCTTTTCTATAGGAGGGTGACGAATGAACATGCTGTAAGGAGGCTAAAAGAGGATTTTATGGGGCAAAACTGGGAATCAGTTTACAGAGAGGAAGACTTAGATAAAG